TTCATCAACGTGGCGAGCCTTGTACGTTAGAGGCACAGTGGAGGAGGCGTTAAGAAGACTGAGAAACTGAATGATTTCAATGTGTCTTTGTTTTTGATTTTTATCCTTTGATGCAGTGTAAATATTTTTTGTAAAACACTGAAAGAAATAATAATACTGTGAAACAAAGTGTCATTCTGGTTTGTCTGTCTCTTTGCCTGTCTGTCCTTTCAATTTTCTTTTCTTTGCTCATCTTATTTCTTCTTCTACTTCACGTGCTCATGCTCTTAGTCAATAGTTCTGTGACAATATATACATATGACGATATATGACGATATAACAGTTTGTCACAGCCCCTCGTTTGTTGTCCTCTTCTCTCTCTCTGCCTACGGTTTACCGGGCAGTTCTGTTTGTGCTGTGACAAACTGTTTCGTCGGAGTTTCACCGACTCATCAGGAGGCTGAACCTATATATATATCGTCAAACAGAGATATATGTATATGAATCTCATCTGAGACTTTTCATTTTTCAAGTTGGAAGGCACTTTTTTATATTTTTATTTTAAATTGGACCCTAAATTTTGTACTACACTTACATACTCCATGGAAGGCACATGATCTCATGATGTCAGACTAGAATGCTGCATGTCCACGTATGCGCTTTTCATTGCTGAAGATTCTGCGAAGAGTTATCTGACTCTTATACTTTGAGTGAGACAAGTCTTCTCAGAAAATATGAGACTCAGATCGGACTCTTATACTCTGAGTGGTTCGCGAACAACAATGCTAGTACCTCCACCAGTGTTGGGAAAATAGGGAAAACTGCCAGTTTTCCCATTTTCCCAAAAAGTTCGGAGGTCCCAGAGCTCGGCAAGAAGAATAAAGTTTAGTTTTATATTGCCCACTCGTGAAAGAAAGAAAAAAAAGAAGATTCTTTCTCTACTGCAATGTTGTTGGTCTGCGTAGCATCGTGTTCGCGTTCGGAGGCAGACACGAACATGTTCGCCCCAATGCGAACGAGCACCCAAAACCCTCCGAATGCGAACATAAAAAAATAACAAAAAAGATCTCAGAAAAATCTGGAAAAATTATATGTCATGTAAAAAAAGTTAAAAAAACAATACAAGCAACTTTTGCCTTGGAGTCATGTTCAAATTCTTAGCGAAACGTGAGTTAAAAAAAAAAAAACGAGAAAAAATTATTATTATTACTAGGTTACCAATGGTCAGGGGGCCGGTCGTCTCCCCCGGACGTCTCCCCCATACGCCCGGTACCCCCGTCCTCCGGGAAAAAAAGTTTTTTTTTTCATTAAAAATATATATATATATATTTGTTCGGTTTTCGATTTTTAACTCATGATTGACGGCGAATTTGAACATGACTCCAAGGCAAAAGTTGCTTGTATTGTTATGTTACATAACATATATTTTTTTTCAGATTTTTCTGAGAACTTTTTTTTTTTNTTTTTTTTGCGCTAGGTCGGACAACCCCTGTCCGGTGGGACATCCGACCAGACGTCCGGTCGGACATCCCGGACGGTCAGGGGGGTCCCGGACGTCCGATCCAACAACCTAGTATTATTATTATTTTTCTTGCCGAAAAAAATATGTTCGCCCAAACATGTTCGCGAGCCGTTCGTGCGAACTTGCAAACACGTTCGCGCGAACGCGGAGGGACGCGGACACGTTCGCCGTGCTACTCAGGGGCAGGGTAGTAGTCTAGGAGCCTGTGCTCTCAGTAGTCCTCCACAGAAAGAATCTTGCCGCTAACATGGTCAGATTGTGGATGTTGTTGCTTTCTTTTTTTTCTTTCATTTCTCACTCTTACGAGTCCCCTGCCAGCGAGGCAGGGTGTAGTCCGTGATTTGCCGAAGCTGTGTTTCCTCAGCCGTGATCACACTGGCACTCAGAGGAATGTATCCAGCCCGTTTCACGGTCGAATACGTGTTCTTCTTTTTTAGTTTCTTCTTGGTCTTTCTGGAATCTGACAACCTGGCCACGGAGCTGAGACGCCCTCAGTGAGGGCTCACTCACACTACCACTTCCAAGATTGTATACAACTGCATGTCACAGCCAAAGCTTTGTTTCTTCCCCCCCCCCCCGCCTCCCCTTCTTTTGTGAGTTTCACGGCCACCACTTTTCTTCTTCTTCTTTTTTTTCCTATTTCTGTGAGAGTAGGAGAAGAAAAGAAAATGGAGTGGGACCCAGGCTCGTCAAAACTCGGAGCGCAGTGACATTCAGGCTGGGCAAACACAGCTTCAGTGGTACCAGTGGTTTAATGTCCATGTATGCACTTTTAAGTTTTAACTGTCATAGCTGTTTTTTTGTGAACCACTCCTGCATACAGCTATGACAGCAGCATAGCTGTATGCAGTAGTGGTTTGCAAGCATACTGCTGTGGCAGGCAGAGACTTCCAGAGGAGCACAACAGAGAGATTTAGAGATTAGATACCAGCACAGCAGAAACTTCTACCGTCGTCACCCGAATAGAATGCCCGGTTGTTATAGCCGCGTGCTTGGGACCACTTTCAGTCCAGATGCAGCCATAATGACCAGGCGTTCTATTCGGGTGAAGACGGTTGTGTTGACATATCAGCACAGCGGAGACTTCGAGAGGTAAGAGATATCAGCACAGCAAAAATTTATAGAGGTAGGAGATAGCAGCAGAGTGGAAGACTTCTAGAACTAATAAGAGATACCAACATGGCAGAGACATGGCCTACTTTTTGTTTTTCGTTTTGTTTTGCAGAAGACATGGCCTACTTTTTGTTTTTTGTTTTGTTTTGTTTTGTTTTGTTTTGTTTTGTTTTGTTTTGTTTTTCTCCAGAGAGACTCCATTAACCCCACGCAGGGATGACACTCTGCCAATTGGGTTTTCACAATTACCAACCCAAGCAGCATTCACAATTTCACAGTAGCAATACTGAAAATGGCTTGTTGTTTTGGATGGATGGATGGTGGGGATTGTGGATTGTGTGGAGTGACTGCGAAGCTTACGTGTTCTTCTTCTTCTTCCTCCTCCTCTTCTTTTTCTTCCTCTTCTTCCTCTTCCTCTTCTTCTTCCTCTTGTTGTTGTTGTTGTTGTTGTTGTTGTTGTTGTTGTTGTTGTTGTTGTTGTTGTCGCCATCTGATTGAAATTCACCGAATGTAATGCTTTTGAAGTTTTGACTAATTTAATTACATTCATTTTTCTTTTTGCAGAAGTGTACCTTGATGTGAACTGTGATGTGGTTGATCGCTGAACTTGTGCTGCGTAAAACAGGATATGGCCCAGCTTTACCTGACACGAAAGGCAGAGCTTGGAGGAGAAGTTCGAACGCACGAACATAGTGAGGTGAGAATTTTTTGTACACAGCAATCTGCTAGCTTCCTCTCCCCTGGCTAATCGAATGTCTCTGGGATGCACGCCGCGAGTCCGATGGTATATGTTGCATCGCCACTCCGTATGATCCCTTGCATCTTTGCGCATACTGACACGCTAGGACTTTTTCTGGATGCATCTCACTGTCATGACAACCAAATTCATTCAGAAAAGTCCTTGCCAGCTGCCAGTCCACCTTTCCTTTCCAGTACTCAGAACTGTGAACGTGGCTCGCTCACCGATAGTTATATGTTTCCCCCCCCCTTCCTTCTCCTCTTCCCCTCCCTTTCCTCCTTTCCTGTACATAGGCTTGAAGAAAGCATAGATAGATAGACGACGGGCGGAAGAGGGATTCCAACCCCCAAAGCATAGATAGATAGACGACGGCTGGAAGAGGGATTCCAACCCCCAAAACATAGATAGATAGACGATGGGCGGAAGAGGGATTCGAACCCCCGACATGCAAATCAGAAGAAACTCACGAAAATGTATTACGTCATTTGCCTGTAGGTCATAGTAGGTGGTACTATTGGACTCGTCGTTTTGCTGGAAATTTTCTTCTTAGAGGAAGATAATGACATGTTGTCGAACACTCTTGTGGTTACTTGTGGCGCAACAAACTCTGGCTTTACTCGCTAAAAAAGTCAAACCAGGAATTTACTCCCTAGAGTCAGGCTTTGACTTTACCTGCTAAAGTCAGGGCTTTGACTTTACTCGCTAGAGTCGGGGATTCGAGTTAGGGTGACCAAAGGAAAGGCGTCGAGTGCCCTATCTCTGCGCGTGGGGACCACCACCCTTTTCTGAAAGTTTTTCTTTTGTGATGACCCATTGACCCTCCAAAACACAGACTGAGAACACTGCTGATATCTGGGATTTGCCGCTGGAATGTATGCCTTGCTGAGATTCCCACGGTCTGCTAAGTTTCCAAGTGTGTGTGTGTGTGTGTGTGTGTGTGTGTGTGTGTGTGTGCGCGCGCACTTGCTGGTCTGTGTGCCTGTCTGAGTGCGCACGACTGCCTGAGTGTGTGGTGGCCCGAAAGGGCACTTGTGTGTTGTGAGGCCCGCGGGGCCGGTACTTACCTGTGGCGGCGACTTTGAGGGTTGCGGCGGTGAAATCCCTAGCGGGATGTAGGCCCGCAACACTTAGGGCAGAAGGGGAAAACACTCAAGTAGCAGGTGGGCCGGTACCACTCAAGTAGCGGTAGATGTGTCGGGGACTGGAGGCTGAGCAGAAGAAGACAAAAAGTTGGCAAATTTAGAGGCCCAGTAGCGGTACACTAGAGGTAGGCGGGTACCAGTCCAAGTAGCCTAAGTCCAGGGCCTGCACGGGCGATATCAGAGGGCTGCAATGATGCTTCACTCCGAAAGGGAGGAGGTACTGGCTGCTTGTAGGCCGCGCGGCCTAGGAAGTCACCGCCCAAGAGGCAAGTAGGCCGCTATATCTCCAGGTAGAGCGCTGAGCGCTGAGCTCTACGCCATTCGCAGTATGCAACTTTGGGTGTCATGCTCTGCTTGAGCGGGCGCTGGTTCTCAGAAAGCTGCCTGGGAGGAAGGAAGGGAGCCTGGCGCTCTGTGTGGCTATGGCGAGCAGCCCAGCTTGAGGAGGAGGAAGAAGGGGGCGAAGGAGGAGAGTGCCGAGGTACCTACCTGGCTATGGTGGACATCATCTTCATCACCTTGTTAGGCGCTGCATCTGGAAGGTCTCAGTGGGGGTAGTGCCGCACCAAGGAAGCTTCGAGGCGGAGTCAGGCATGGCGGCCTGAAGAGCAGTGGCCATAGCTGCTTTGCGTTGTCTTTTGTGCAGGACGGCAGGGCCCTTAGTAGTCCGCCATAGCCTCGGCCTGTGTGAGGAAGGAGAAGAGGGAAGCCATGGCTATGGTGGACCTCTTGTTGTACTGGCAGTAAGAGGAAACTTCGGATACTGATTCTGGTTCCACCACTTATCGTTATTATTATTATTTGGGAGAAGAATAAGATTGGCGGAGACAAGGAGGAGGAGGAACGTGGGGAGATAAGGGGAGGATTTGTCATTGGTCTTGCTGGTGTACTTCTTCTTCTTCTTCTTCTTCTTCTTCTTCTTCTTCTTCTTCTTCTTCTTCTTCTTTTTTCTTTCTTCTTCTTCCTTCTTCTTTGGATTCTATCTCTTTGCTAGTGCTTTCATGTTTTTCGCAATTGGTTGGCATTGTCTTTCCTTGTGATTTTGCACTTCGGAAATAGCCAGGATCGTAACACTTTTGCTTTCCTCTCTTCCCCTCCCCCTCCCCCGTCCTCTTCTCCCCTACTTGTCATTTCTATTCTGAAACTTGCGCTTTCCTGGCAATTGGGTTTGGGGAAACTTGGGTATGTTTGCGGTACTCACAATCATGGATTCCCTTTTACAACTTCGCATTCGTGACGCTGAAAAGAAACCACCAAATAAACAAACAAGATGAAAAAAACGAAGAAAAAAAAACACTGCAGGTTGTTGGTCCTCCTTTCTCGCCCCCTCTACGGATCTCGTTGTATCTCATCACTCAACAAGCCGCCTGCTTTTCTGTCACTTCTTCTTCTTCTCTCATTCCTCAGGTGGAGGAGTTGCTTGAAAATTACTACAAGCAAGTCGAGGAGGTGGTTAATGAGGTGGAGACTATGCTGTCGACGATCGATGCGACGGGGGAGTACCTACGTACTGTGCTAGACAGGTAAGGAATGCGGTTATGGCCATTTAAACGAATTGATGCGGGTTCGGAGTTTGATTTTTTTCGTGTATTGGGACGAGGTGGGTTCAATTTCGAAAGGAGTATGAAGAGATACCTCAAGAGATGGATTCGATTTCGGAAGGGTTATATATGAGTGGATTGCGTTGATGGGTTTGAAATTTGAATTCAGGAGGGGTATGAGATGGGGTTTGATTTGACGAGGGACCCTACATTACCAGAGTGGTGCCGGACCACTTGCGCAGCCGGGCCAAAAATGAAAAAAAAAAGAAAAAGAAAAAGAAGAAAAAAAATGGAATTTACAGTTTCCAGTTTTTTTTTTTTTTTAATTTGGCAAAGGATTCCAATGTGACCCCGTGGCAAAAGTGGTTCAGTTTATTTTTCTGCACAATGTAGTTTTTTTCCGTATTTTAACTTCTTTTTTTTTTAACAGGTGCCTTCCCTGGCCCTTGCCTAGCTGGGCCGCCTGGGCAACTGAGGCGACCCTGGCAGGCTGGTTTGTAACGCAGATTAGGGTTTAATTTTTATGTTAATCTACCTGTTTTAAAAAGTAGCCCGCTCTTGCACGTGAAAAGTTTTAAAAACTTTTCTGACTCTGATGAGCCTGATCCCTTTTTCATTTGTTTTTTTTTCTTTTTTTTCAGGTTGTTTTTTATCACGGTCTTATTCTGAACCCCTCTCACCCGAACATTCGATACACCAAACCCTCACGTCAGACAGTGGGTCTGATTTCGGTGAGTACTTTTGCAGCAATGCTCGGTGTTTGTGAGAACTCACCAAATGACCCCCCCTTTCACCTTAGGAGCTGGTCCAAAATGGTGAGTGAAAAAAAAGGCGAGCAACTTCCCTCCCCACTCAGATGACAAACGGGCGTGGGTCACCGGTCTGGTCCGGACCGGCTGCAGACTCACCATTTCGGTGGCATATGCAGGTGTACATTTGGCACTTAAACGTTTACCCTCAGGCGTTGCAGGCGGGGATGGTGGCGTTGGGATGGTGCCGTGTGTTGCAGGCGCTGATTGGGATAGACCCTATGAAAAATCGATGGCGTTGGGATGGTACCGTGTGTTGCAGGCGCTGATTGGGATAGAGCCTACCAAAAATCGATGGCGTTGGGATGGTACCGTGTGTTGCACGCGCTGATTGGGATAGAACCTACCAAAAATCGATGGCGTCCGGATGGTGGCGTTGGGATAAAGCCTACCAAAATCGATGGCATTGCAGGCGGGGATGGTGGCGTTGGGATGGTGCGGTCTGTTGGGGTTACGACATAGAATCCCAACCTGACAGTTTGCCTGGGAGACTGTGGGAGTGCCTGTTTCCCACTCACTGATTTTTCCGCATCTTCTACAGTTTGGGGATGGCGGTGCGTGTTGCAGGCGTGGATGGTGGCTTGGGTTTGGTGAGTACTCGCTCACCGAACCGCAGGCCGACAACTTCCGACAATGTTTCTGACGAATGGACTGTCGGTGAGTGGTGCGGCAACCCACACCTCACCGGTCACAACGCAAGTTCAGTGAGTTGTGCAGCGAGGAGGCCATTTTTCTGTCGAGAAAAGAAGGAGGGGGAAAGGTGATCTTCGAGACGTATCGTATCTGTTGCGGTTGGAATCCAAACTGTTTTGTTAAATTTGTTTGTTTGTTTTTCTTTTTTTCTTTTTTTCCGCAGATCTTCGAGACGTATTGTATGCATGGAGAGTTGTATTTGTAATAAGGCTTTGGACTTACTGTTCTTTCTGTCGCTGTTGAAATCCAATCTCTTTTATTTTTGTTTTTTTTGCAGCTTACGGAATGAGTTGATTAGAATGGATGTGATGCTTAACATGACCACATGCTCCTTGGCCGCTGGAGGAGTCCTTGCCGGGGTCTTTGGTAAGTAGGACGTACACGTACCCTTCATCCCACTTTGGAATTGTGAGAATCTCATAACTGAGAGACAGCCTTATCAGCACCACTAACACTGTAGGGGGCGTTTCATTTAAAAAAAAAAGAAAAAAAAAAAAGAAAGAGGAGAGACAGCCAATACTCCTCCCCCCCTCCCCCCCCCAAACCGGCCCACACCCCCTTCCCCCTCTCCCAATTTGATATGATTTCCCAAACATACACCTTGCCTTGATAGTGGGATTGACCCTAAGCCTTTACCCAGATCGGGAAAGTTGCGGAAACATCTCCGCCTTTCAGGAATTGTGTTGTTGACAAATTGGTGTCTTTCAGGATCTGTTTTGGCAAATTAGCACCTCAGGGATTCACCAGATGTTTGGGTTGCATTACGCACCCCTTTAAACCCCTTTAAAACCCGTTTTGACCTTGTGCACAGTACCTGGGGATACCAGGCTGGGCTCCTGGGCTGCTGTTGGGTGCATGGGACGTTTCCGTCTGGACCAGGTGCCGGGAGGGCCCAGTGCAAAAACAAGAAAAAGGAAATCAGATTTTTTTTTTTTTTAAATTGTGGGGGGTAAAAAAGGATGTGTTGCTTCAACTTGCTTGTGTACAACTGAAATGCAAACAAACTACTTCTTTTTTTTTTATGTTAATAGGAAAAGAACGATGGCCTTGATATATAATTATCGGGCTGATCGGCCCCAGGTAATTCGGGCTGATCGGCCCCAGGTATTGCTTGTCTGATTCCATGAGGATTTGAGCTCAGGTCTGCTTATGAATAGACCTGAGCTGGGTGTACCATTCTTCCACCACATGGGCTGGGTAATGCGAACAATTTTTATTTTTTTTAATTTATTATTATTTTTTTTTTTTAAGAATGCTCAAGTTTTTATAAAGCCAGGAACGGGGCCCGGCATCCCTCACAAAATTTGGCGGGGCTGGCCGGTGATGCCTTGCCCGCTGAATGCGAACAATTTTTGCCTGAGGGGCACTCGGAAATGTTGGCGAAATGAGGGGCACTCGGAAATGTTGGCGAAAGTAGGGGCACTTGGAAATTCCTCAGAAATTGGGCACTTGGAACTTCCTCAGAAATTGGGCACTTGGAACTTCCTCAGAAATTGGGCCATTGGAAATTCCTCAGAAATTCGAATGTTGGCAAAATTTGGATGAACAAGCACTTTCGCCTTGCAGTTCTTGAGATTTTCTTTTCACCCTCCGCTTTTTCCCTGTCAATAATGCCCACTCTATGAATCGGTGGGGCTTTTTTGGCAATGGGTCATGGGCGAATCTCATGCATCACACACACACACACACACACACACATGGTCACACTCAATGACAGCAAGAGAGCACGTCAATGAGCAGAAACGAACACATGGTGCCACCGTTAACCGGTGAGATATAATGATCTGTCAGATGGTGGTGGTCCTTGGCCGGTGGCTCTACAATGATGAAGCCGCTGTCGTGAAAGCTTTGCAAGCTAACCATGTTCTCTTTTTCGTCATGTGCCTTTCTTCTCTTGGTCCTCTCTCTCTCTCTCTCTCTCTCTCTCTCTCTCTCTCTCTCTCTCTCTCTCTCTCTCTCTCTCTCTCTCT